ACACCAGTGTCACCCTGGAGACTGGCGCCTTCCAGTTTGGGCAGTCTTCTTTGCATCAGCCCAGCCCCCTGGCTCCCAGGCTGCCTGGAGCCCTGCCCAGTAACCCCAACCCCCCCAACCGCTCCCCCCACTCTGGCCTCCCTTCTGTGACTGAAGTCTGACATCCTCTCCTTTCTTGTAGTGTCCCTGCCAACAGGAGCATGGCTCTACTGCAGATCCTTAGCAGCCAACACGTTGTCCCCGCCCACCATCTGTACCAACATTTCTCTCTCCAGTCCTTCGGGGTTCCCAGAGTCAGTCCCCACGGGTCTCCAGGACCCGCCTCAAGCTCAGTATTGCTCGTGTCTTTGGGTCACGGCCTTCTGGGAGCTTGGTAGCAGATGAGCGCGTTGCTCCTCCTAGATTACCATGCCCCTGTGTGTGGGTAACCAGTGACCGGGCGCGGAAGCACAGGAGGCTGTGTGCATCCGGCACGGCTCCCAACTGCCTCACCCGTTGACACATTGAGCCTCGCTTCAGCATTAGAACCAAGGAAGCTTCCTGCATCGGCCCCTTTTCTCACAGCTGTGACATAAAACCCGATCTTGAAAATAAAACGAGTTAGAGAGGGGAGAGTTCCTTTAGGCTCACAGTCTGTGGATATAGTCCGTCTTTGGTGCGGAAGTCACAAGGCAGGGGCCTGGAGCAGCTGGTCAGGTGCACAGCCCACTTTCTCACTTTCATGCAACTCAGGACCCCAGCCCACAGAGCGGTGTGACCCACATTCACACCCCAACAACGAACGTAATCTAGATAGTCCCCCCAGTACGCCCAGAAGCCTGTCGTCTCGTCCGTGATTTCAGATCGCCTTCAGTTCACAATCAGTACTAGTCATTACACTCCTTTGGTGTCGGTCGTAGTGGAATTATTCCATGACGGCCTCTCTTGTCTGGGGGTCTCTGGGCTCAGTGGGCAGGTGTGGGTGGAAAGGAGGCAGCAGAGGAGGGCTGCATAGAGAGACCCAGTACAACCAGGGGTTCATCCCCATGACCACTGGGTCCCGCCATCTTTTGTTGGCCCCAATGAATGTTAAACATGCAAAACCACGCACGGGAAAAGCCCTTCCCAAGAAGGTGCCCCTGACCACAGTTTAGGTGTCATTGCTTCTTCCATGCCAGACCGCCGAGGGGGACCCATGTAACAGAATTGTTTACTCCCTACCCCTTGTCATTCTCACGCCTCACCTGGTCATGCCAGAGCAGGCCAGGGTACAGGTGCAGGGAAACCCCGGAAAGGTGGGAATCTGCCTCCAGCCACACCGTCAATGCCAAGGGACCTCAGATGCGCTGAGCAGGAGGATCAGACCATTTGCTTGTCTTGTGTTACCCAGGCCAAGACTCAAGCAGCCTAAGGAAGAGCCTCCATCCTCTTCTTCCCCCACGAGCATCCCTTGCGCTGACTCTGGTCCCCTAGTGTTTGACACAGACTCAGGACTGCAAGCTAGCCCCTCACATCCATGCAATGACCGCCTTCCCCTCTTCCCCTGGGCTCTTCTCCTGTTCTGTCTTAACGTCATTCTGCTTTGCCAGGTCCCAGATCAGCTCTTTCTCTTCCCAAAGCCTAGCCATCCAGCTTGCCAGCACTTCCTGCTGGAGTTACCTCCAACTTGCTGAGGCCCACTAATCTGTCTCAGAAGCTGGCTTCTTGTGTTAAGCTTTCCCAGAAGAGGGTGGGATTCACTGCAAGTATACTCGCCTGGCCGCTTGTTGTGCTGTTGTCTGACTAGTGGACTGGTGGCCCTGGACCACACAACCACTAGAAGCAAAGCAGGACTCAAAGTTTGTAAGTTGGTCTGGGGTGAAGCCTGATAATTTGCATGTTGATTTGCATATTAATAAGCTGCTAGTGACACCCTCCTGTGTATTAACAAGTTGTAAGTGATGCTCTCTCCCCTGGCACCACTGAAGTCACATGGAAACCTGGTCCTGGGAGCAGGATCTGGGCCAGCCATCTGGGCTGAGGAGTAAGCAGACCCTGAGCAGGAGAATAGCCATCTAAAGCGTTCCGGTCAATGGTTCCAGTTGCCAAGACCCTTGCTATGACCTTACTTCTCAGCAGTCCTGAAGGAGATGGCATCTAACTCTCAAGAGAAAGTTAATCAGATACAGCCTTATGTGTGACTCGTGGGGAACAGGATTTCAGGAGGACTTCATTGCATGGTGACCCCTTCTTTCAATAAAAGGTAGGCTTGTTTTTGATAAAAGGTTTGTGCCATAGTGTTTTACATTATTTGAGCTGTTCCCACACGCCCTTAGAATACAACTCCAACATCATATCTGTTGTGTGCTACAACTAAACACAGTCCATAGGGAAGGCGGGTGGCTGGACCAGAAACATCACAGCAGATGCCAAGAAGAGATGGAAACACATAGGCAGGCTCATGCCCTGTACTCTCCGTGTCCAGATTTCCTGGGCTCACAGGTAGATGAGCCTATGCCACCATGGAGAGTCTGGGACTCAATGCCGGGAAACTTCCCTTGATTGACATGGTAAGAGAGATGTGTTTGGAAGAATATGGACTTGATCACAAACCCATGGGAGGGATGCTGACTCAGAACAGGCCGGAAGAGCGGGTGGAAGAGCAGGTGCATTGTTGTAGCTAGAATTCTGGCTGAGAAATTCTGAGGAGGCTGAGGCTGGAGCTGAGGCTAAGTTGTGCTCCTGGACTCTGGTCTCCCACAGCATCTGCCAGCAAAGCCTGGGCTCCTTGGCCCTTGATGCCTCCTTAGGATATAAAGTACAGAATTGTCTTCATCCCTCATAGGCACCCCAGGCAGCATGGGAAGGGCGGGGTGTGGCATTCAGCTTCCCTGGTCAGAGGCCAGCCTGCCTGAGCTCCTGTTACAAGTGGGAACACATCGTGGACATGTGAGAACCGAATTCTCAAAAGGGAAGGCCACACAGTGGTGAAGTGAGAGCCCCAGGAACACAGAGCATGATGGGAAGGGATGGTTATCAGCAGCAGGGGAGGTACCCGGTAGGTAGCGGAGCAGAGCATGGCTAAGCCCTGCAGTGGGAGGCCTTGGGGAAGCTGCACAGTCTTAAAAGGAAGGGCTCCAGGGGGAAGACTTCAGGCTGCGAGTGTCCTTGGGGCCCTGCTGTGGACAGTGGGCTGGCAGAGTCAGGAGGAGTAATCAGGGAGACTTCTCAGAAGGTAATGATCACCAGAGAACCTGTCACCTCTGGGCACCTGTGGAGTAGGGAGATGCTGAAGATAACCCTGCTGAGATGGTTTGAAGGCACAGAGAGCACTAGGCAGAAGAGCCCAGGCCAGCAGGGACACCCGAGAGCTCAGCAGAGCAGAGCAAGACTCCGTGAGCCATCAGTCTGCCAGCAGTTAGCCGTCCTTGTTCATCTTTACGTCACAGACCTGATTATTTTGTGGTAAGTTCAGACCAGCTGGACAACATGTATCGGTTAAAGAGATACTTCCTATACACACACTACATGCCTGTACGCTTGGAGCAGAGGGTCCGATCTGGTTTGTTGGATGTGATGGTTCATGATTGGTGACAATTTAATGGGACTGATAATCCCCTACAAGACAAGCTTTGGGGTGTGTCTGTGAGGGCGTGTCTAAACTAGGCCAATGGAAGTGGTGATTTGCTAATGACTAGTGGGGCTAGGACTTCAGTGAGGGCTGCCCAAAGCCAGTGTGGACAGATGCTCATCATCCATGGACTATTTCCAGCATAGGGTCCACCATCAAGCAGCTAGTCAAAGTCCTGTTCCTAGGACCAGGTTGTCTTGTGTGGTTTCAGCGGTATGGGGGAGAAGGTGTCATTGGCAACTTATTAACAGTGTATGATCCCATTCAATCGGGTTGACCTCACTGTTTGGGCATTTAACCTTTTCTCTTAGTGCCAAGGAAGTAGAACCAGAGGCCAGGGAGATGGCCGGGTCCTGAAGAGCAGTTGATGTACAACATGAGGAGTTGAATTTGATCCCAGTTCCCACATAAAAAGCTGGATGTGGTCACGCTTGGCCATAACTCCTTTCCTGGGTCAGGGAAGCTGACAGAGATAGGACGGGTTACCAGGACTTGACAGCCAGCCATTCTAGTCAGAAAACCTGCTCTAGAGTCAGCGAGAGACCCCGTCTCGGTGGGGGGGGGGGGCAGGGAGCAATAGCAAAGACTAGGAACACCCTCCAGTGGTGTGCGCTTGTGCATGAACACACAAAGGAAGCTAAACCCTTTATGTCTTCATCAAAAAATGTTGCCCTAGAGACCCTCTGTGTGCTCGGAAGCCCTCGGCTGCTTCGCTCTCAGCAACCATCGTCGCCATCATCAAGGATTCCCATCACCTTTCCTGCGCTCATCTATCTGTTAGAAAAGGTAGGGGGAGGGGAGCAAAGGTGAGCTCTCAGCCAAGACTTAGCTCTCGGGGATCTGAGTTCACACGATTGCCCCCTACAATCGGTGTGAGCACAGACTGCTGCACAGCCTGTTTCTGCAACTGCTAACATACTGCGCTAACATCGCTGAACGTCCTCAAAGCTGGACTAAGCGCTCAGGCAGAAAGGGAGGCGGCTGTTTCCAATAGGACCTGGGCCAGGCACTAGTCACTCTGCATGCAGCACTGCGTGCCAGACAGGCGTAGGGGACCAAAGGGCGGAGACGCGAGCCTGTGTGCTGTAGATGCTCCGCTGCGATTCACTTGCCCCTTTCTTACTTAGATTAAGCTCATATTCCTAGTGGGCTCAAGAACTTTGCCCGCCACGTCCAAGGATCGCTCGTGTGTGTGTGTGTGTGTGTGTGTCCTATATGTGTGTGTCCCGTCCTATATGTGTGTGTCCCGTTCCTGCCGAGGCCTGGAGGCGGGCAGGACCAGTGTTTGGACAAGTCCCTGCGGACTCGCACGTGCCCGGAGTGGCCTGGTTGTAGAGGCGCCGCCTCGGCGGTCCAGGGCGGACCATGGGGCGGGGCGTGGGGTGGGGTCTGGAGCTTGGCTCGCTGGCTGTGCGGTCAGCAGCAGCGGGTGGCCGTTGCGCACCGGCGGAACCATGCTCGGTGTGGTGCACTTTCTTCGCAGCTTCTTCAAGGTGAGAGACGTCGTCCCGGGGACCCAAAGCTTGCAGCATCTAGCAGGGACCCTAGGGGGCGGGAGTGGCAGTTTCACGCTGTTGCGCCCTGGGCTGTTTATGGGTGGCTGCAAGGTACCCAAGAACGATCCCTGCCGCCGCTGCAGTTAGAACTTCTCGAAGTTCTGGATCTGGAGGTAGTGGCCTGCAGAAGTGTGGCCCTGGTGACAGAGGAGACTGCGCAGGGACAGGGGCACAGGGGAAGGAGGCACGGGGGAGGAGGGTGCTCAGGGAAGACTGTCTTGACCAGGGTTGGAGAGAATACTGGCGAGGGCCCTGGGCTCCTTGGTATCTCGCCTCAGCATTGGTTGGTATTGGCCTGGAGCTACCCAGGAAGTGGCTGCTATTGTTATTACCTGGGCTGAATGTATCAGAGGGAGAATCTGGGTTGGGACACCATGGTGAGCAAGTGCCTAAGACACTGTAGGGAATGGGAACTCAAGAGAGTCCCCGGCCCGGTGCCCAGGCTTCTCAGGTCATGGAGATGCCACTGTACTGGGATGCTACCACCTTTCTTGCCCACCCAGGGACCTGGGGTGGGTAGCCCACTGCAGGGCACTGGCTGAGGGTGGCTGGCTGAAGGTTGCCGAGCTCCATCTCTCCAGGTGAGCAGTGTGGGAGGTGGGAATGTCAGGACCAAGGCTACAAGAATCCGGAAGAGGCGTGTAGGAGGAAGCAGAGGGTGAGGCCAAAAGGTGATGTTGGGAGGAACTGTCTCAGCCCTGTGGCTGTCTTCTGGGAGAACATAATCAAGACTGAGGCAGAGAACCCTAGCCCGGAGAGAGAGAGCATGTGTCCCAGGCCCAGACCTGCTGGAAGGAACCTGACCTCCGCCTTTGCCATCTGGAAGGGCAACCCACTTACCTGTAGCCACCATGGGGGTCACAACACTATTGGGGGGGTGCTATCTAGGGGTTCAGACCATGCTGGGCTGCTGAGCAGGCTTTGGCTTTTGCTGTCCAGACTCTTGGAATGATCCTCTGCCATAGAACCCTGAGCTTAGGTGATCTTGGAACACTCAGTTAGCCACTTTAGGTTTTGCTTTTCTGTTTGGGGAAGTGTGGGTTCTTCATTTTGCTCCTTTCAGGTGAAGACCTTCCGCACCTTGTGGGCGGCGTGAGCCCTGGGGACCTCGGTTCTTCCTCACCTACTTAGGCAATAGTAAGCAACAGGTAGCTCAGGCCACAAGTCAACCAGGCAGTCTCCAGTCCTTGCTTGCCTCAGCTCATGGGATAGGCAGAGTGTAGCCTATGGGGAGGCTGCTGGCAACTCTGGGACAGCTTGCCAGTTTGCTAAACCAGCGGCCTGGAAACTGGGGACAGGATGTCCCCACATTCCTCTCTTACTCACCATCCTGCTCCCAGACCCTCTAATCCCATTCCACGTGTACTGAGGGCAGGCAGGGTCACCTTGCCTTGGAGGCACTCCCCTGGGAGGAGCCAGAGGCCACCACACCTACTTCTGGCTGTGCAGGTACATTTTACAGCGCCACCTGGGGATGCAGATCACAATTTTACTTCCAGGGACACCGATCATGTGGGAGGTGATGGGAGTCAACAGCTCTGGTGGGCTTCTGTAGGAATTATCTGGTGACGGGGACTGGATTGGATTGTTAACAGAGCCACAGCTAATCTCTGAGTCCCAGGGGAAACAGTGTCTCAGATGCCCAAAGCCCAGGTAGACGAGGCTGCTGCTGGGCCTGTCTATAGACCCCACGTGACGCTCATACTGCTGTGAGCATGTAAGGCACAGCTTAGTTCAAGTGGACCAAAGAGCTCACAGTTGCTGTGGGTCCCTACGGCACACAACCCTTGGCGGTACCAGGAGGGATGGCTCAAAAGGTCAGAGCTCCATCCATGCAGGCCACAGCTGTGCATGCCCCTTTCATTGGAATACTCCGGAATGCTACAGAAAAGTGGGCATCCCGGCGATCCACTGAAGTGGTAGAGCTCTGTTTTCATCAAACTTGTCCTATGTCCAACACCACGGCCAAACATTTGGGATGCCTTGCCCACCCGCATTCATCCAAGGCCTAACAATACCAGCAAGAGGCTGTTGAGGACAGAAAGGACAGGTCTCAGTTAGCTGAGGCAGGGAAGGATGGCTCAGAGTTAGCAGGTAAGGCAGGGAAGGATGGCTCAGAGTTAGCGGGTAAGGTAGCAAAGGATGGCTCAGAGTTAGCGGGTAAAGCAGCGAAGGCTTGTGTGTCCTCTGTCCTGGGAGTGTGACATGCTTCTACTGATTCCAGAACATATGTATACATACTGGCATGTTGTGTACCTGTGTGCATATACGGGAACGCACACTGGCATGCTTGTGTTCGCATTTCCACACAAAGGCACACACATATCAACATGCTTGTGTATACATGTTTGTACATAGGGCACATACACTGGCAGGCTCGTGTACACATGCATGTACATACACATCAGCAAGCTTATGCACACACATACATATGTATATATATATATACACACACACACATACATATACATATATATGCACACATACAAACACATATATATATGCAAGGGAACTCTATCAAAGATAGAGATTATTATAGCATATGTGTTTCAGTGTGTAGGCCACATGGTGATGAAAGAATCCCCATTGGTCAGCCCAGATCAGCCCACCGGCTTATTCTATTATTATCATTTAAATTAATATATATGTGTATGTGTGTGTGTGTGTGTGTATGATGATGGAGTGTGTGCAAGCCATGGTACATATGTCGAGGTGGAATCAGTTCTTTTAGACCTCATTTACCCAAGGATTGAATCAGGTCATCAGCCATCTCCACGGACACCTACAGTATGTTTCATGGCTGCTGTACAAACCCAACAGGCAGACTAGACAGCTCTTCCCGGTTGGTGATGTATCTTTTGTCACTATGGATGAAGGATTAGCAGTGAGTCACTGTTTTGGACTGGAGAGTGCTCCAGAGGCTTTCAGTTAGCCTTTCTTGCTACACAAGTGTGTACACCATGGGTCAGGGAACAGGGCGGAGTTTCTGTCAGCTGCTGACTATGCCTTTGTCAACTGAACACTCAGGATGGGGAAGTCACCACAGGGTAGGCTCAGGTAATGGTCTCAATGACGTGGGCTTGTGATGTGGTTCTGTTTTGTGACTTTCTTCCATGCCTCTGCATCTCTCAAGCCTTTACTCTCTGATGGTGAGACTTGGTGCCACCCTGAGCCACCAGGAATTATCTCAGAACCAGTGTTTTAATACTTCCTAAAAGGTCTGAGTGGTTCTCTGTACAGGCATTTGGGAGATGTATATTGTGCCTCTGATATTCAGGAACGCACAAGGCAACTTTCTGCCATGGTAACAAGACTCTTGGCATGATCAGCTCATAAAGACAGCAGGTGTGGGGTTTCCAGGAATGGGTGATGGATTCTGTTTTGGGGCTGTGGTGAGACAGTCTAGCATGGGACAGACATGGGGTAGTGCATAGGGAGGTGGGGGAAGAGGGAGGGTGTGGCTCTGACCTAAAACCTTACCACATCTCTTAACAGCTCTGTCGCCTCCCTCTAACACCAACACAAGGACAATGGAACTTTAATGGACAGTCCTGTTCCAAATTACAGCACAGCCACCCCCCACCACACACACACACACTCACCAACCACACACACACACACACACACACACACACACACACACAAACACACCATGAGTCGTCGGAGTCAGGTCAGGGACTTGCGTAAAGGCGGTGGAGTTTACGAAACAAATATATAGTTTGCAAATATCTATCTATCTATCTATCTATCTATCTATCTATCTATCTATCTATCTAGAAACAGTCCTGGCTGTCCTGGAATTAGCTCTGTAGACCAGGCTGGCCTCGAATTCACGAAGACCGCCTGCCTTTGCCTCCCAAGTGCTGGGACTAAAGGTGTGCACAACCACAAATATTTGTGGATCACCTGCTGTGTACCACACATTCTAGTCATTGAGATTGTATACAAGACCGAGTTTAGATTTTGTTTTACATTTTTCTTGTGTGTGTGTAGATCAGAGATAGACATCTGCTGACTTCATTAGTTGCTTTCTGTTTTACTTTGGGAGACGTGGTTTCTCCTTGAACCTGGAGCTTACAGACATGACTATGTTGGGTGTGGTCCTCTGGTCTCCACTGTCCCCTCAGCAATGCTGAAGTTACAAGCACACTGTACTGCTCTTGGCTTTTTATGTAGGTACTGGGGGTCCAAATTTAGGTCCTCACATTCCCAGACCGAGACAAAGATTTTGGTCTTTGTTTTGTATTTAATATTTAGTTAACATGTATTGGTGTACGTGTGTGTGTGATGTGGTGTGTGTGTGTGATGTGAGGTGTGTGTGGTGATGTGGGGTGTGTGTGCATGTGCGTGTGCGTGTGGAGGTAAGATGACAACTTGCAGGAGTCAGTTGAGGACATCAGAGCCCACTTGACAGAGGCGGGGGGGGGGTGTCTCTCTTCTTATACCTTTTTGGGCATGGGTGGCATTCCACAGCACAAGTGTGAAGCCATGTCTCTGATTCCCGGGCAGGGAAAGGGGTTGGGGAACAGGTTCTGTGGCCACCCATACCCACTTCAATGTAAACTCTCTTCCCCAGGTGGGACCATAGAAGTCACTTAGCTGAGGACTCAGGGAGCCTGTGGACACTTGTGGGAAGGAAAGCACTGTAGGAAGGTGTGGCTTGAACAGCCACAGGGTCCTCATACTCCAGTCTTACAACAGGAGAGTTCAAAGAATGTCTATTCACCCCAGACAGGATACCCACGAGATGGCAGACCCGGGAAATGATCCTACCCTCTGCTAGCTTGCTGAGCCGGTGGCTTTGCTGTGTTGTATATAGGAGTACCAGTGGGCATTGATCACAGTCCTGAGGATGACTAAAAGCCATCACGGGAAAGCCCACCCCAGTGAGGGTGACCGCTCACAAAAGCTGCATCCATGTAGCTTCCTGCACAGCT